GAAATGTCAGGGGCTTGTCCATTCGTGATGACCTTAAACGCCGCAAGTCCAGATTCTCTTTTGGAGTCATATGCCTCCTTTGCTCGCCAAGTAAAGTGCCCGGACTATTCAGTTATACAAACTCTTAGCTCTAAAGATTGGAAAATCAAGGACAAGATCGCAAATCTCAAGATGCTTATTTCTGCAAAAATTAGCTGTTATTCGTGCTGGCTACTTGTGGTTGACAATGTCGCTACGTTGTCCTCTATGCAAGTCTTCTTACCAGAGTCTGGAAACGAGGCGTGGGCAAGAGGTCAGTTATTGATTACAACCCAGGATACAGCGTCAATTCCCTTAGAGAGTTCTTCCATCAAACACATCTCCGTAAGCAGAGGTATGGAGCCTGATGATGCCAGTTCCTTATTGGCTAGGATTTCTGGAATCACCGACAGCGAGCTAGCGGGAAAAGTAGCCAAACGACTCGACTATCAACCTCTTGCTCTAGCAGGCGCTGCCGTTTTCGTTAAGGAGATATGGCAGGACGAAGCCTCTAGACATTTTGGCTGGAACGAATACCTGAAGATTTTAGAAAAAGGCAAACGAGAAACGACAGAGGATACCCTTGCTAATACCAATCCAGTTTACCCAAACACTATGACCAAAGCAATAACGTTAGCCGTGGAAAAGCTTATTAGTTCCGACAAATTTGTCAAACACCTTTTCACTTTACTTTCCGTTTGTGCGCCGCAGCCACTAAACGTGGAAATAGCAGTCAGTTACATCATGAATGTAGACGGAACTTTTGACGAAGTGGACAAGAACCGTATTCGAATGAGCCTCAGAAGGTGTTCACTTTTGCTGTTTGAAGGGAATTTCATTCGGGTACATGAGATTGTGCACGCAGCTATCAAAACTCTAATAAAAGGTCATGAAGAAAGTCAAGGAGTCGTCAAGGCCGTCAATGCGGCTGTTACATCATTCAACAAGTTTATACTTGATATCTCACCACAGAATAGAACATTGGAAACCATACACATCGTTCAGCATTTAAGAGCTTTAATTATGGTCATTGAGAATTTGTCTTTCAAGGAGAGTTTATCTAAAGTTCACGATGTCAGTATGTTAGAAAAATTTAAAAACCTTGGTGAGGTTTGTAACGCACATTTTGAATTCATCGCGGCAAAAACATACTTTGAACACGCACTTACGATTGAGCTAAGACAGCTCGGCCCCGAACATGTTGATGTTGCAACGACCTACAGTTATTTGGCGTCAACTCACCAAGGCTTGGGGGACTTTGAGCAAGCCAAAGAGTATCAGCAAAGTGCACTTACTATACAGCTTCAGAAACTTGGCGCTAAACATGTCCATGTAGCAGCGAGCTACAATAACTTGGCTTTAATTTACCAGGTCTTGGGTGACCTTGAGCAAGCCAAGGAGTATGGGCAACGAGCTCTTGCTATTGACCTCGAGGAACTTGGCGCGGACCATGTTCGAGTCGCCACGAGCTACAGTACCTTAGCTTCGATTCACGAGGACTTGGGTGATCTTGAAGAAGCCAAGGAGTATGGCGAACGCGCGTTAACTATTCAGCTCGATAAACTTGGGGCGGAACATGTTGACGTTGCAACGAGCTACAGTACCTTAGCTTCGATTCACCGAAACTTAGCTGACTTCGAGAAAGCCAAGGTTTGTGGACAACGTGCACTTGCTATCCAGCTCGATAAACTTGGCGCGGAACATGGTGATGTAGCCACAAGCTACAATAACTTAGCTTTAATCCTCATGCACTTGGGTGACCTGGAGCAAGCCAAGGAGTATCAGAAACTTGCTGTAACTATTGAACTCAAGAAACTTGGAGAGGAACATGTCTATGTAGCAACTACCTACAGTAACCTAGCTTTAATTCTTAGGGACCTTGGTGAGCTTGAACAAGCCAAGGAGTTTGGGAAACGTGCTCTAGAAATTCAACTGGGGCAGCTTGGCACGGAACAAATTAATATTGCAAGCAGCTACAATACTTTAGCCACAATTCATCGGAACTTAGGTGAACTGGATCAAGCCCGGGAATATGGGCAGCGTGCCCTTGCTATTCAGCTCCAAAAACTTGGTCCGGGCCATGTTTATGTTGCAGAGACCTACAGTTACTTGGCTTCAATTCACCAGGACCTGGGTGAACTTGAACAAGCCAAGGAATATGGGCAGCTTGCTCTTGCTATTCAGCTAGAGAAGCGAGGCACGGATCATGTTTATGTTGCCGCCATCTACAGTCGATTAGCTTCTATTCACCAGGACTTAGGAGACCTTGAACAAGCCAAGAGATATTGGCAATGTGCTCTAACTATTACGCTTGAGAAACGTGGTGCGGAACACGTGGATGTTGCAACGAGCTGCACTAACTTAGCATTGATTCACAAGGACTTAGGTGAACTTGAGAAAGCCAAAGAGTATCAGAAACGTGCCCTGACTATTCTTCTTGAGAAACTTGGCGAGGAACATGTTGACGTGGCAGCTGGCTTCAATGACTTTGCTTTAATTCTAAAGGACTTAGGTGATCTTGCGGGAGCCAAGGAGTATGGGCAACGCGCTTTAACTATTCGTGTTAAGGAACTTGGCACCGAACATCTTGATGTTGCCATGAACTGCAATGACTTAGCTTTAATTCAGAAGGACTTAGGTAATCTTGAGCAAGCCAAGGAATTTGTCCAACGTGCTGTTACAATTCAACTAGACAAACTTGGCGCGAATCATGTTCATGTTGCATCGAGTTACCTAATCTTAGCTTCAATACATACGGACTTAGGTGATCCTGAGCAAGGAAAGGAATACGAGCAGCGTGCTCATGCCATTCAGCCTGACGATATCGGTGTGGAACTCGTCGATGTTGCAACGAGCTGCGAAGAAGAAACTTGGTGCGGAAGATGTTCATGTTGTGTATGTTAAACAAGACGCTGCTGCAACGTATACTTGGGCCATGTAACGCACAAGGCGGGAATGAACTTGTAAAAAACGAAAAAGAGTTTATTCGTTGAAATTGTAGAAAAAATAAACCAACATAACGCAAGCAACCTGAAATACGTTCGCTCAGCGTGTATACCTACTTTTAAAACGCCGATAATTTGAGAGTAAACAAGAATAAATAGTATGTAACTTGTTTGTTATGAATGTCATCATTCGATCGTAGTTTGAGTACAATTTTGGTCTAGCACATGCAAACTTATTTGCGATTATTTTTTCAGATTAACACTCACAAAAGATTTAGTTAGAAAGTTTCATACTCTTGTATCCTGAAGGTGCTTGCCGAATACGGAAGGAACCGTCTAACTCGTCAAGTAATTTTATTGCACTTTTTTAATTTGGGAGGGGAGGGATGGTGAAATAGGGGGGAGGGGGTTAGTTAATAACCTATTTTTGTTTCCCTTAAAAAAAGCTCTTCCGACGGTTGAGGCTGTAAGAGGTCTGTAAGATAGTTAGGTGCTCGATCAGCGGATTTTATTAACACTATGCGAGGGCATGAACCCAACCTTTCCATGCCTATGACATGTTTTTCTAAGTACCAATAGTCCCTTGAATTTTGTCACGTCTAAATGTATAAATTTCGTCTCTCTCCTTGATCCTCAGAGTGGACGCGATTTTTACGCTGCTAGGCATGTTCAATTGAAAGTCATGCCCATACGTCCCTCATTCAAAACAATTCTATTGCAGAAGAAGTAAACATCGTAAACGACTCCATTACGTGTTAAGCCAGTAAGGTGTTCAAAAGGGGGTTATAGAATGCCGATTTATTGAATAAATCTTAGTCATTGAAAAATGTAATTTCTCCTTGAAAAGTCCTTGAAATTTATGTCTCAAGTTGTACGAACCATGGGCTTAATTGGTTCTAACACATTATAGTTCAGTTCTTTATTGGCCTCATTTCAGCCTAGAGCTTTGTAATCCGCTGAGGCTTATGGGGCTGTTAACTGTAGCTTAAACCGTAGTTTAACCAGCACAGTTAACCGAAAGTCACAAGATTGTTCTCTGGGAAATACCCTCTCAGAATGAATAAAAAAGGTTAGCAAATATACGAAAAGAAGACTTGCCGATGGTAATATTTGCGAGGTACGTTAGGCACAATTAGGGGTTTCCGGTGCAGCGGTTCATTTTTCCGAAGTACACTAGCTACAATACATAATTCAAATCGGACTGTAGCAATAACAAGCAAAAATTTCGGTTTACAAGATCGATTTTGACTTGACGTTCATAACTTACCTTTCGAAAGGTCTTCCTCACCAAAAAGATCCTATTTTCAATGGACAAACCGACAATTAATCAGTGCCAAAACTTTTTTCCGTTGCAAGTGCGATGATTAGTTGGAAGAGTTAACGCGACTTTCAAAACAAAACACGTGGCCAGCGCGTGCTAGAAATCGCACGCGCATGCATTTGTTGCATGCGACAAAATCCCAGTTATAAGCCCCGCCCGTTTTAAGCCCCATCTATTTTCAAACAAAAGATTTAGGAATTGAAATATATGAAATGAATCATATCGTGAACGACGGATGAAGATATAAAAGTGAACATGCTCATCCAGTAAAATGAACAACTTAAGTGGTTGAAATGTAGATCATGCGGTTCCGCTTACACCCCCCGGGCCCCACCCCACCAAATCGGGTATATGCCTACCTAAAAGAGGGATTAAAAACAAAAACAAAAACATTAAATCAGATTTTTAATGTAGCTACCGAAAACCGCAGCTATTTGACGAACGCGAGCCCTAAAATTCTACTACAAAAGGAAAGTACAGAATTCTCAATAAAGAATTTGGGAATGTTGGTTTGAGGAGAAGGGAAACAAGAGTGCCCGGAAATAAACATCTCGCAATACGGCAGAAAAACTACAGCAGACCCATTATGATGACATCATAGAACAAGCCAGACAAAACTCAATACTTATAGTTTTAATTACAAAATATAACATCGCGTTTGAAATGCTTATTAAATTTGATATTATGTACAAACAAGCCAAAATATATTTCAACAACCCAAAACAACTTTAAGCCCATTTTCCCAGGAAAAACGATAGAAAAGTGAGGAATAAAGGTGTGTGAAATCTAGAATAAAGACAAGGGATAAATTTCAAAATAGTGAAGGAAAAAGAGGAGCTTCGTCAGATTAAAACAACGATGAAAAGTCTGACAATTCAGTATTTTTCACAATTGGAAAATTTCAGGAGACTAAGTAGGACTAAGGAATGCATAGTTTGATGAAAAGTGGAATCCGCATTCTTGAATTCAAGGATTCTACACTTCTTCAAAAAAATTTTAAAAGCAGACTTAAATTACATTCCACGTGAATTCCTTTGACCAAATCTGTATCAGGATTTTTACGATGTAATGAATCCCCTTGTAATAAATTTCGTACTAAAGCACTATTCAATAACAACTTGAACTTTGAAGTTCAAAATTTTACCAGAAGTTAATTTTTTCAAAACCGAATTCATCGCCTTGAGCAAAAAAGCATTGTGGATTTCATCCCACTTCATCAGCTTCTGTTTTCGGGGTCCAACGTTTGATGCCGTTAATGTGGTCGACAACTGACCTTTTTAAATGTAAACTTAAACTAGTCTTTGAACTTGTAAATACACCTCTCTCTTGAATAGCTTCAAATATATGTATACTTTATACAATTATTATAAATTATACCAAATACGAATGTACTACTTTTAACAAATACATGGCACTCTTAGAGATCATTCTCTGAATCACTGATATAATCGTAATCAGTAATGTAAACCTCTTCAAGTTAAAATTGTAACATACATGCACTGTACGCTTGCGCGGCCTCGTTCTTAATTCAAAAGTGTGCTGCTGTACACCACTGGGTGCTTCGTAAAACCTTTAAGAGTTTATCTGGCTGCCTTTCAGACTTCCGTCAGGAGAAAGACTAATTGGCCATTATGTTCCAGTCAATTCCAAAAGCACCCATACTCCAAATGCCTAACAAAGAGGGCTCTGTTTGAAGTCAAATCCGCACCTCTTCTTATGGAGATTAGATCAGAGTGCTCTTAAAATTGATTGATACATTAAGAGCCTGTCAGAGGGATGGACAAAAACAGGTAGCCAAAGCATAAGCCATGAGAAAGCAAGGATTTTTTTGGTACAGTTAAGAACCCATGAGGCCCTTATAAGCAAGAACATACTTGGGCTACATGAATTTAGTTCTCACGGGCTGACATGTAACCTCCTTCAGATTTAATGAAGAGTCTGCCCTGACTCACACCGTGCTTGTAAAATCACCTGCCCTCTCTTGTAGCATTAGCTTGGGCTACCTGTGCTCGATGACTCAGTGAAATGTTAAATAAGGTGAATAGTTATTCTGTCTCCAGTCGCTTGGCATGTGGCATTACTTCCCACTGAGGTACGTGCAGATCAAACTCAAGAGCAACTACAGCTTGAAATTCAAATTTTAGGAGTTCCTTCACTGATATACGAAGTCTGTCCTCTATTGCCTGTAACAGACGAATAAACAACTTGTTCAAATTTAATGGTACAAATGATTGAAAACCTCAATAGTTCACTGTATGTGACTGAATGAGTTGTAAAACAAAACTTTAACAATGGAGGGACATTTGGAGAGACCGTTTTGCTTGTCTAGGTTGCAATAAAGGGAAGCACTGAAGACTCGACCATCCGATAATTTCGTCACCTCGATGGTTGGGTGTTTGAAGAAACAGAGAAAAAAACTATTAAAGTGGTTGACCTTTTCAAACATTAAATCATACAAATGTACAAACGTAAGCATTGGTGGCTACTGTAAGTAGAATTGCAGAATAGAGAATTAAATATACACAAGATCATTACAGTTGTAGATGCAAGTTCTGCAGTTGCAAGAAGAAAGCCTGAAACAATTCAGGCCAAACAACCCAACATACACTGTATATTAATCACAGCATAACAACGAGTCATTTGGATTTACCTCGATAACTTCCCTGACTTTATCACGTTTCATATCATCATTAAATTTTGCCGCTAATAACAAACAAGACCCTGAAAAATGTTGAAAACATAAGAATCAGTACCATGAAAACTTAACAAGGATGCCACTTAAATCAATATCTATCAATATTTACTTATTTAATAAATTTATTATTATTTAAATCTTTAATACTTGATTTTTCTCGTTATAATTACAACCCCACCTTTTTCATATTTCTTTGCTGTGTAACAGGGCTCGAATATAAAAAAATCCTCAGGTCGCCTTTTGGCTACCAACTGGAGAAATATAGTTGCCAGATGCAAATTTTTAGTTGCCCGTTTGTATAACGTAAATGACACAGCTTATAGATAGTATGGCTCAATCCATCAGATTTGAAAATGTCATGGATAGAAGTCAGTACAAATTTGGAGGTAAACTGACTTTGTTTATACAATTTGGCACATTTTTTTATGATGAAAGCAAAGCAAGATAAGATAAAATGTTTGTTTTTAACTTTAATTTTTCACAGGTGACCGCGATAAACCAGAATTTTCACAGTCGCTTTCGAGCCGACCATATCGTGTAAAATGTAAAAAACAAAATCACCCTTCAGGGCTGCATTGGACCAAGGGCAGCTAGCACAAATCCACGTAAGGGCGCTTTTCAAAAGTCAGAACTGGACAGGCGGACCAGACATTTGGCAATGAAATGGGCTTTTTCCAAGAGGTTTTACTGAAAACCCATCTCCTTTGTACATAATATTTAGCATTTGACTGATCTCATTCTGGATGGGTAGTTTTGATTACAGAGGAATTCCCATTTATTTATGATAGGAATGGGCTGGCCAGTCAGTTCTGACAAATGGAAAGCGCCCTAAGATACCACAACAAGTTGTATACCTGATTTTACAGTAAACCAGGGATAGAGCAACTGAACATTGGACAATGTGGATCAGAGCACATAATTATTTAGGTTACAGAGAGTTCACAGCCTAAAAATCAGACAATCCTACCTGCCAGCAGTTTTCTGTTTGCTTTACTAATTTTTTCCTAAACAACAACAACAAAAAAGGATTATCAGAAGCCAAAGCAAATCATGCAAAGGGGATATGGAACACTTTATGCCCAGAAATGCACATCACTTGCCAGGACCATGGGTACTTCATATTACACATTAGCATTTCTAATTTTCATACGACTTCATGTATCAATATTTCTTTAGGTGAGGATTAGAACTAGGGGACACAAAATGTGATGTCTATCATAAGCAGCATGAGTCTCATATCGTGCATTTCTGGACATAACTTGGAGGGAAGGAGGGAGGAAGGAAGGAAGCACAGCTGATCGGTCAGAGCACTGATCTCACAATCCTGAGGTTCTCACTTAGAGTTCCAACCAGGCCACCAGGCTGGAGTGTTTCTAGATTGTCCCCAGTTAAAATTCTCTCCGCCATGCTTGTAAGTAGCAAGCTGTATCACCTCCTACCAGATGGAATTCAGAAAAATCATTTTTTCAGATTGCTTGGTCCCACTAGTCTTTATTCTTTATCTTGTACCCAGATCTCTAGTCTTTATTAACAGTAAAAATAGAATACCTCTCGTGCAGTATTCAAATTCACATGAATAACATACTACAATCCTAGGATCCTTTACTTTACCTTAAGAATTAGTTTTTCAAAATAGACATATGCATACGCCACAGTTGTTAAATCCAGTTGACATTCCTGATAAAGAACAATGAGACACTGTCTAGCTGAAGAAAAATTGTATATTGTTTCTTGCTTTGCAAAGAACAATATTGCAAGTCCACCATTACTTATAATAGTTGTTTCATCCCATTACGCATCCCAAGTTGGAATGATGTTCAATGAAGCAAAATGTTGCCACTATTGTAGGTGAACATGGATCTTGTTAACTTGGAAGAGCACCAATGCACTTATTTGAGGGTGGTGCCTATTTATAGGAGCAGCACTTCATTTAAATCTCTGATTACAGGTATTTTATAAGAAAACATTGATGTAGCATTAAGCAAGTAAATTTTGACTAACCTGAGTCAAAGCAATTTTTAAAATATCTTTCTTTAAGCTAAAAACAAAAGTGAAAGGAAAAGGAGCACATCAAAAATAAATCTTGCTGTATTTTTATGTAAAACAACGTATCTCACTGATAATATTGATATAATTAATTTTCTTTCAAGAGACATTTTCAGCTCCATCACATTATTTTAGCTTTCAGGTTAAAAAGGGTACATGTGCTGTCAAGCCCACACTGTCAAAGCTCATCCCAGCTTCAGTAGCTACTCCCTCCTTAAACAGGTTTCTGACTAGGGCATGAAGAAAAAATGAGCATAGCTAAAAGTGTAAATACATTGCACCCCCAACAGATCAGATACTATACCATGGTGAATTCCAGCGGATATTATCTCTCAGTTATTAATTCTGGAAGGCCAGATCAGGGTTGTCATTAAGATTTCAAGTTGCCGGGTAAATACAACAAGTAGGCGGGGAATCAAACGGCTAGGGATTTCTTTTGGTTCTATTTTTCTTCTATTTTCCAATAAAAGTAGCCGGGGGCCACTCTATTAGTGGCCGGGGAAAATCCCCGGCCCCGGGCTCTTAATGACAACCCTGCCAGATGTATGATTTCACAGTTTCTTGCACATTTTCTAGACAAATGAGATCAATATCTTATTTGTCCGTGCCCCCCTGAGCAAAGCAGGAGAACTCTATTATAAAAATAATTATATTAAAGAACTTGTTAATTATTAATAACCTACAAGACACAAGTTAATCTACCTTCTTAGTTTTGTAAGAGTGATGTTGAGGTTTGGGAACTTTTCTTTGAATTGTTCATTCAAGTCTTTTTTCAGCTCTGAGGGCCTTGCATAGGCTACCACTGATACCTACAAAATATCCATAATACATTAAAATTATTACACCTAAAAACATTACCCAAACTATACACAAATAACACTCCTGCCCAGATCTGTTTAATCACTATAAATGCCTGAGAGATTTGGGCTTTGATGAGAGGTGCAAGCTTATACATGTACAATACCACAGCTCAAGGCAAACAATGTTTAAAGAATTGTATTGCATGAAGTTGATTTAAAATTTCAAGGTATATTAATTATTTTAACTTTGGTAGTTTTAACAGGTAGTTTCTCCGAGTATCACATATACTTACCAAGTAGGACGCAAGGTTGAGAACTTTCCGGTGGCGGCCTGATGTTAATTCAGGGTCATCCAGCAGATGAGGATCATAGCCGCTGGGTGAGGAAAACCCAGCATCGGGACTGTCTTTTATATCACAAAACAGAACAAAAACAGAACATGTTTAATGATTAACAATAATTTCGAATGCAATGTTAAGTGGGTGAATGGTCAAAAACTCGAGACTTGAATAAAGTCTAATAAGAGATTGAGAGGACGGAGTTCAGAGTATTTTAAAGAAACCGAGCTTTGAGACTCTTTTGTTAAAATTTTTGTTTTGTCAAAAAAATAAAAACAAACCATGCAAAATGGTGAAAATTTTTCCACCCAGCCTCAAATAAGCACCTAATGTTATGATCATAACAAAAATAAAAATGACAATGATATAAATGATGATCATATAACAGTAATCTCCCCATGTAAACTTACACAGGAAACCATCTTTTCTGGTGGTTCCAAACTTCTTTTATTAAGGGTACAATGTACCTAGGAAATTAAACAATACATAAGTTCTACCTAGAGAAATCCCTCCTGGATCCACCTGTATGGAGAGAGGCGTAACTGTCCCTTGACCTTCATTCCATCCAAAAGGGTATGTTGATATGAGCAATGATCTGTATGACACTGTCTATGAGGAATCAAAATATATCTGATAAGCATAAAAGTTGCTTGCAAAGAATACTGAATTTATTACTAGCATGAAAAAGCTACAGTTCTGAAATAATTCATCAACACCTTCTCAGCTGATCCAAGTTCCACCCCTTCTATGCCAACAACCTGGTTAGGTGTAGCTACAGATGTTTTTTTAACACTGCAAAAAGCAACAATTCTATCATAAAATTGTCATACACATCAAAATTTAATATTGCTTTAATAAAATAGTAAAAATATTTAATACATATCAACTCTGCATTTTGTGACTTATAAAGAGTTTGTGAGTTTTGCCAGATGACTTTTCTAGAAATTATGTTGTAATTTTTGTTCCTTCAGCAGTCAAAGCTAGAGGATATAGCACAGCCTCCTATACAGATTTTCTTGGGAATTTGTTATATGTCTGGGGGAAATGAAAGCTACAGGATCTCTTGAATAAATAGAGCAGAACCCCGATAACTCAAACTGGGATAAGTCAAACTCACCGCTAACTGGAACTAAGTCCTATTTCCCTTGGATTTCACCCTGCTTTACAGTCATTTTTACTTGGTAACTCAAACTCAGATAACTTGAATTCCCTGCTAACTCAAACTAAATTTCCTTTCCCTTGATCAAAAGGTCACTGAAAATTACCCCAATTACTCGAATTCTGGTTCTTGTAACTCTACTCGGATGCCATTCCATTAGCTCTTCTTGCCGTATAATCAGCTAACACTGGTTAATAATTACAGCAATTTGATTTTAATTGGTGCAACGAACATATCAAATTTTATCATAAAAAAGGCCTAATCACGGTATGGTTTCTGAAGTTAAACTTGCACTGCGGTAGCACTATACACTGCTGGAAGTACTGAAAAATCAGTAACTATCAATTTTTAACAATGACAATTGAATTTTGCAATCGACCCTGATAACTCAAACCCTTGCTGACTCGAACTGTTTTTCTTTTCGAATTACCGTGGTTCTACTGTAAATAAATCACAGTTAATACACTATAAGATGAGTGTGGAGGCTAAGGCAGCAATGCTTTCAAGTTGGCTCAATTTTGACCTTGGTGAATAAATTTTTTTTTTTATTAAATAAATGATGTGAGATAAATAACTTTACACAATATTGAACCACAGCATTTACATGCTTACAGACTAAGGGGAGTGATCCAAGGATAAACGTCAAGGTCTCCTCCTCACTACCACAAGAAACGCAAATATCACTACTTACACATTTCCTATAAATAGATGCAATTTGTTTATCCCCGACTTTCTCTCGGGATGACTGTAATACACAGGACAAATAATGCTTATGCAAAATTTTTACGGAGACGGGTGTATTATAGGCAATGTGAAAGTGGAGAATAGAAAATAGTGAGGAAAAAGTATATGCTGGTATTGTAGTTAAAAGCAACCACTAGAAATCCATGATTGACAAAGATGAAATTACCTCATTCCTTCTTGACCAGCTTCTTGGTTTTCTTTGTGGTACTTTAGAACTGAGTATGTAACCAATGGGGCCTTATGACTTGAACACAACACTATTCTAAAAAGATAATTACACAGAATTCCAATAATTACATTCATTTAATGAAAGGTACATCAGGCAGGGTCGGCGAGAGGGGGTAGTGGTATACCAGTATACCTGAAAAAAAAAAAATACCCAAAAATACCCAAAATTATAGCCAGGTATACTTTATACCTGAAATTCAAAGAAAGTGATATACCGAATACCCGTATTTAAGCTGCAATATACCATATACCCGATTTAAAAAGCCCCTGTGTACTGTATACCCAAAAACTCTGGCCAACCCTGATCAGGGCTGTCACCAAGGGCCGGGCCAGATTTTCACCAGGCCACTATGAGCATGACTCCCGGCTACTTTGATAGGAACCAAAAGAAAAAAAGAACATAAAAAAACTTCCTAGCTCTTCCTTTTTCAACCTGCTAATTGCATAAAATTATACCCAGCAACTTGAAATCTTGTGATAGCCTTGTAGATAATGCATCTGCCAATGTACCCTGGTAGAATCTGCTCTCGTCTTCTTGAATCATGTCAAACCTTTGAGGTTGCCGCAGCCCAAACTTCTGGACTAGTCAATTTACTTCTCTCTCGTCAAACTGGTATTTTTGAGTACAAGCATCCATTTATTGATAAACTAATGGTCATAACCAAGCCCACTGTAGCAAGTGCATGGCTATTAGGCCTGGGTTTGAAACTATATCCTTGCTCAACATGCCACGTATGCTCAACAAAGATCTTAACTCAATTCATGCAGAGTCTTTCCCGAGTACAGTAAAACCCTGCATATAAGAACCTGGATTTTTTAATTTAGCCTCAACAGGTTATATAAATGGTATTTAAAGCAAATTTAGACTACCAACGTTCTTAAAATAGGTTCTTATATTTTCATATGAATTTCCTTTAAGTATATTATAAATATCATCTCATAATACAATATAAATCATTAAACCATAATTCCTAAAGGCAGTACAGTGCAGGTATGTCCTTAACAAAACATAACAAACAAACTCATAGTCAGTTCTCTGAAATGCCATTTCAAAGTTGATACACTTTTACAGCAACTCCACTGATAAGAACCTAACTTAAAATTTTAGCCTTATAGTTTCTTAAAACCCAGGTTCTTATACTGTATTCCCAAACCGAGCATACAAAAGAAAGGCTCTACTAGCAGAGTGCTACTAATGTTGTGTCACTTGCTGTTAAGGAAGCCAGGTAAATGGGAAGTGGTAATATGTTTTATGCCTTCCAAACTCACCTTCAAGGATTTTTCTAATCAATCATACCAACTGTCGGTTAAATCTGTTCTAAGGTTTCATTAGTATTCAACCTTGTTTACCAGGTTAAGAAACCCAGTAAAAAGCTAAAATACTGGTTTAACATGAGAACAGATTTTACCTTGTAAAATAACAAATTCCCTTTAAAAAAAATTAAAATTAACAATTTAATAAAAAGAGGTACTTCTTCATCAACTTTTAATCGCTGTAACACCACAATATTTAATGAGACCATTAATGAAAAGTAATTATTGTCTCGCTTCTCCAGATATTATGTATTAACTTCCTTGCATTATTGTAATTGTCTGGTGTACATGCAACTAATTCCCCTAAAAACTTAAAATAAATAATTTAATAACAAAAGGTATTTCCTAATTAACTTTTAATTTTTGTGACACCACAAGATCTAAATGAAATGAAACCATACTGTAATCAAAACTTATAATCTAGGTCTCCTATTCAAAGTTTTCAAGATACATATTAACTTCCCCTAGGTTAAATTACCTCTTGTCAGTTGCCCGTCTCTTATGGTGAAAAGAAGAACCAGTTAAACACGAAATCCTATGCTTGTAACTCCGCTGAATACCTCCACTGTTAGTAGAGGCCGAGTCACTTGAATCGGACACAGAAACACTTCTTCGAATAATGACATTTCGTTCTTGTAGCCTCCCTTCAAAAACAGCCTCCGTGACACTACGTTGTCTGTGGTAGGCCTTAACGTTTGAGTTTTTTGCTCCGTTGTTGGTCCCGTGATCTTCAAGAGCACTAGGTTCAGATATTGAATGCAGCAATGGCCTTCTTGACGATAACAAATCGGGGTTTCGTTCTTCATTTCCACGGCTTCTGTTCGAAGCATTCTTCTTCGCATTCACCTCAGTAGCCGGAACTCTTGCAACATTTCCATCCAGTGAAATGCTGGAAAGGAAAGCACAAGCAGAAGCTACTCGCTTAGACCTTCTTCTGTTCGGACGGCCAGCTGTCACAGCCGCCATCTTGGCGGTTGTGGACAAATTAACCCACACTACACCCTTGGAATCTCTAGTACAGTTCTTACCGAGCCCTCCCCACTCGGGATGCGGTATGATAGTGTCTTGATGCGCCCGCGATTCTCACGCTGTTAGCGAGGCCAAGTGCGAAGCTTGATAAGAAAATTAAATGCCTTTTTTTTTACTCATGCAAATAAAACTCATTTTCACAAGAAGGGTTTTGCCTAGCCTCGTTTTGGAAGTGCGTGAGTTTTTAAAACAAAAAACAAAGAAAAGAAAAAAGGAGGGAAAAGGAGGCTGATTTAAAAAAGGGAAAATTTTCGTTGTATTTAAACTTGGTGTTTAAAGACACCAAGTTTAGACAGGAGCCTCGCTGCTTATCTTCTTTTTCATGACTTTTTTTCTCATGGACGGCAGAGACTCACTTTGTTCACATTCGGAAACTCACTTTGTTATAATTACTGAATGTACAACACGTTCCACGTTAGTAATCGGCTCATGCCAAAACTTACTGCAACTTTTAGTAGTTTGGAAGAGTAGAGACAGGTTATTATGTGAATCCCAACAATGAGACCTGTGAGCACAAGCCAATCCTGTTATCTTGATCATGCCAATATTGCACGCCTAAGGCACCGAAGCGGGTAGGGTGGGCCGGGCGTGAAACTGTACGACACGTGATACCTAGGGTTTATAGGAGTGACGCTCATAGAAAAGAGGTGCAAAGGTACTTATGGACAACCTCCTTTTTGACTCGTCACAGATCACAGCTTGACCCTGTTTAGTCTATGGGAGAAGTACAGCAGAAGGTTGGGGTTGAGGGCTGCTTAGTCCGTATGTGACTAACTCCGGCAACTACATAGTCTATTCTTCAGGTTCATCTTCAATTTCTCAACTAGTATCAGGAATCAGTGTGGCCGTGATCGCAACTATTGTTCTATCGATAAGCTATCAAGCTTTTCCCAAGTTTCGTAAACTGCTTTCCCGGTGATTTCTCAAGCACCTTGCAAAGAGTTGGAAAAATTGTGATCGGGCAATACTTCTCTACTTCCTCTATTTTCGCGATAGAGACTATCGAGCGCACGTATAAAAAAAACCGCTGGGAATCAGATTGACCGCCAGAGCAATGGGGTCGCACGTTCGCTTCGCTCCCGCTCGCAAACTTCGTCAAAAAAGGCTATATTGCATCATACTCAGGGTAAATGAGACAAGACGCCTTTAATTGACGATATTGGACTGTCTGAGTCACTTTATCTAAAAATAACCCATTCCCTCTCCTTAAAAAATCGGCCCACTGCTGGAGGAATGGGTCACGCAATGCCTTCTGGGAGATCCGTTTGCCATTTCGTCTTTCTTCGACGTAGCCTCACTATTTTTGGCCACAGGCAGCCCAATAACAAATGGGCAACACAAGCATAGCAGGGTATTAAATTTCGTGTCTTAATATAACTTCCGCGAGAACTTCTTTTCGCGGGTACAAAATTAATGACTGTGCGTTTCCAGTTAGCCTGCGGGGAGCAGACGCTTTTTTCGGCTCTTTTTTCACCCGCCGAGAAAAAAACGTCTGCTTCCCGCAGGCTAGTTTCCAGTTCGCCATTTTCCCTTTTAATTCTAAAGATAGTTTCGCGATAAGAGGACATATTTCGCGCTTTCTCTTCCTCTTCTTCTCAAGTCTTTTCTTTTCTCTTTTTATTTTGTTTTTCTTTTATACGCGAAATAAGCGATTTAATGACCATAGGAAGCCGAACGTCACGTTTAAACTAATAATGGTCTATTTGATAGCATGAAAAGTAGCTTGCGAGCAAGCTCTCCGGGGCACTCTTGCTTCGGGGTGGGGAAAAGGAGGGAGAGCTTGCAACTCATCTCTGGAATTTGAATACCTGCATCGAAAAAATCGATGCGAAATGGTGATTGACGGAGATGACATTAGTGATGACATCATTACCCTTGGCACGTGTTTACATTCGCGCTCGTTTCCGCTTCGCGTTGACTGGCGGAAATCTGACAGCTCAGTCGACGGGGAGCCACAGGTGGAATTCAAATTCCAGAGACGTAGTTGCAAGCTCTCCTTCCTTTTCCCGCCCCGCCGCCAGAGCGTCCCTGCGAGCTTGCTCGCAGGCTTCATGAAAAGCTCAGGCCTACTCCTCTCAAATTTGCGGGCAACCACACACACTGTACTAAAGACACACTTCTGCTAAAACCCAGAGACAACACCTTATCTCTGAAAACATCGATAGAAAAGAAAGGTGGTAGAAGGTCATATGATACGATAAAGGTTGACGCTTTGATTCTCAGACAGAAATCAAAGCCAGTTTTTAGTTGGTACGTGGATGTCAATGATCAGTGGTTTCTTGTCAGGAACTCAGACTTTTTCATTAAAGCCAAATACTGCCATCTCTTATTTTAACAGAAAGCTTTAAAGAAGGAAAACCAAGATATTCTATCACAATTCAGTCTGGCAGATATTTATTGCAAAAAAAGAAAAACAAACAAACATACAAACAAAAATGCAGTTTACAACGCAGGGTTCCTTTCATCTCAACCAACCATTAAAAATGGCCGTTGGTCTCCCCTAAAAAACTTTACAGTTACTGTAAACATAACCCGTTACATTAAATAGAAAATTATTGAAATGTGATTAACTAACCCCTTATGAACAGCCTTAATTATCCTGTTGACAGAATAAATCAAAGTGATACATTAATTTTTTTTGGATAGATTAACATTAAGTCAGTTGACAGCGATGATATTACACATTGTTTTCTTTTAACTTTCGTATTACTTGATGCTTAACAGTTCCACATCAAAATGTAAAGTAGCATTTGGCGGGATATTAAAAATGGTTAAGGAAAATCAAGTAACAGTGGTCCTCAAACCATCATTTTCCTGCAATTTGAGACTGCAATAACCTTAAATCTTCTATTAAACTACCCTCTCAAATAAGTGCCCCCCCCCCCCACCACCACCACCACCACCCTCAAACCATTTATTCACTAGACTGTCCACAGTCCCCTATTTTTTCGTGAGATCGTCGAGATATAGCGCGTCTTACCGTTAATGGCGGCCATCTTGATTTTAAAATGTACCGAGGGGGTGGGCGTTTGGGATTACACTACGTTTTGACACTCATGCAAGATGGCAGCCTGTAACGCAAAGCCCTCGATCTCGACCATCTTACGGAAAAATAGAGGACTGTGAACAGTCTATTTATTCACATGCTAGAAATTCAGATTTTTTTTTAATCTTCAGCTGTATGAGCTCCAAATTCATGTGCCTGAGGTTTTCCACTTTGTGTTGTAGTTCTTCATGGAGAACTGAAATCATCTTCTGGTTGAAAAAGCAGCTTAGTGCCCCATTTCTTTAAATTCAATAAGCCCACTCACTCACCGAATGAAAAAGGCTCAACTGGCATTTTTGGCAAAATTTCCAGGGGTGAATCGGTTAAGCAAGATACCGAAATTTTAGGGAAAAGCTACTTTGGAGCATCAAAGAGCCACATCTCTCTGTGTGTTGAATTGGCTAAAACTGAACAGATGGCAAAAAAGAATTATTGGCAACAGTAAAAAACCTTCAGAGCCTTTTCAGTACACCACGCAATAAAAAAAATGATTTTGCTCTGAGAAAAAGACAGTATTGAAAAGGATATACACCACCAACACCTCTTGCTCCATAACCATAGTCAGGAGGACATATTAGAAAGGCACGTTCACCAACTTTCATCTAAAAAAGAAAGAAACATATCAAAGAATTGACTCTTTTTGAAGCAGTCTAGGTTGAAACCCAAAATTGGAATAGCCTAGCTATGTTTATGTCTGTTTTTCCCACAGGCAAGTCCTTCATTACAGTTCTTGTTCTGTGTGTGTGCCTCTCAAACACTGCTGTAAGCGGTCTTCCACAAGGTGTCTTCCTTATCAATTAAGTATTCTTTTACAATCTACACCTAACCTCCCAACACCACAATCATAACTGCTTTGAGACACGTCACCCAATGAGTTTCAGTGAGACTGATGGGCAGGGTTAATAGCCTCATTTACAAAATGGTATACATCAAGGAGCTTTGGCCCAGTCTCAATACTCAGAGTGACTCCATTAGTGTAAAACTCTTTGTTTAACTTGTAACATATTTTGACAAGTTGCTTTTCTTGTTAATGACCAATCATTTTTTCTTGTTTTTATAGAAAATTCATATGCTATTTTTATTTTGACTTGATAATATAATGACGTCCAAGAACGTCGAAATGTTGTCATGCTTTTTAACCTTTTAAATTTTTACAGCCAAAAAGTTTATAAAAAATTCCTCTTTTTGATAATAAATCTGATGTATTTATTTCTCGACACTTTGTTGGATGAAAACAAACATATGATATAGGTATTAAAATAAAGGTGCAATCTTCATGGCTAATATTTTTCTTCGTTGCACAATGCACTGAAATGCATCGACATGCACTTTGCACTTTTCGGGTCCCCCAAAAGCCAAGATTCCTGTGACAGAAGAGGGACAATACCCCCTTCTGTGCCTACCCCATCAGACTTTAATTTCGTGAAGTGGGGATGGTCATATTTTGTGACAATTTCATTTTGTAATTTTGTTAAATATGTAAAAACTGAGTCGCTTAATTTTCATGATTTCCTTTATAAATACATAAAAAGTCACACCTTTACACTGACTTGACAAAGAAAGTAAACCAGACTAGTTTGTATCAGAACATAAAAGCCATTGAAAGGAAAGTCTTAAGTTCAACCCAATAAAAAGGAAGCCCCTCATTTTCAAAGACTGTATGAAAAAAGTATTCAAAGATCTTGAGGCGGAGAGGATTGATGATGGCAATGGTCAAAATGAATAAATGAACTTTCGAGTTCGCTATGACCGCTGAATTAAAGAAGTGAAGATGCATTTTTTACAGCCTTAGCCTCCATCTGAAGTAATATATTCACAAATTCCAACGAGAGAAAGACCTGTTTATTACTCTGTCTATTGTGTATATTCAAATTTCAAACACTTACTTGCCAGAATTTCTGAATATTTTACTTTACGTCAAGGCTAACCCTGTATGAATGTGTCGTTAATGTTTGTATTCAGCTGTGATTTTTAATTCGAAAATGGACTATTGTCACACCCGCAAATGTTTGCACATGATATTTGCAACATCAAATTAATTTTCGTGATTTTCCAAAAATCATGAAAATCATGATGAAATATTGTTATTACCTGCATTTGCTTTACTTTTAATTTATATCATACGTTTGTTTTTATCCCATCTAAAAAATTGTTTTCTATGAGTCGCCAGTGCTAGCATGACAACTGGATGGTAATTCTGGTCGGTCATTGGTGGTAAGTGCAGTATCAAAGAGTGTGGTTTTTGACCCCAGTAAGTCTGAAATAAGGCATAAATTTTAATCATTCAGGTCTGAAATTTGTGATTTCTGGAATTTTTTTAATCATACCTCCCTGGAGAACAAAATTTTCAGGTCTGAAATAGGACAGGGAAAATCAAATATTTTGGTCTGAAATTACCAATTATTAATGCATAATTATTTGTACCTGTGCTACACCTTCGTCCCATCCTGGAAAAGAAAAGAAAAAAATGGTTAAATTTAAGATTTAAAAGGGTAATCCATGGATTCCATTCTAATCAACCATCTTTCTTCATTTCTCACAGTACACTGCACTCTGGACACTGCTAGCCTGCAGTGCAGGCGTTTTCATTGGTCGTGCGCGAATGGTTTTAATCGCGAAAGCTTCATGTTGAAACTCCCGAAGGGAAGAGGAAATGGGGCGAGTCAAGCGGAGGGTGGAGGGGGCGGGGAGAAAGAAGAGAAAAAGAGAGAAAAAGAGTCTTCCTCCCCCTTCCCCCTCTCCTTTTTTTGCCCTCACACCTAGCTAAGGGTTACTATTTCTACTCTCTCCAATCTTCCTCTGTCATAAAATCAAAGATGGCGGCTTCATCGTAGCAATCCGATTATCAAGCTTTCGCCCCCCCAAAATACGCCTGAACTGCAGGCTATATTGGGATTTAAAAGAGCAATATGGATCACTAGACGGGCCTAGACATATCAATTGATGGGGTGGATATTCTGCTATTTTTAAACTCTCTTGATATTTTTTGCCAAAAGCATATTAGCGTTTTTTTGAACTTTTTATAGTTATAAAAATAAACGCCTGTCTCTTTTAAATGCCTCCTGTCCATTTAATGCCCCTGCTTGGACCTCAGAAATTAAATAGACACCCTGAGCGTTTATTAGGTCATTTACGGTAAGGGAGTTCCATAACTCTCCCATCCCCTCCTCCACCATTACCCCAAGTGTGGATCAGGGGGGACTCTCATATAAAAGCAATGGAAAATTAAAATTAAACCCCTAAGGGAGACCAATGTGAGTGTGACTCAAACTTAAACTGACCCCTAAAGGAAACCATACAAAACAGACATCAGAGCATTTTTTGAAAATTTCTTTATGCACAGCCCTAAACAATACCTGAATGAGTAGATATAGTGACTTTCCATCCCAAACACCCTAAGTGAGACCAAAACCTACAATTATTTTACACCCCTAAACGAGACAACGAGCATCCCCATCAAGGGAGTTCCCCCCTTCCGGCCCGGGAGTGTATATTAAATAAAATGGAATGGCCCTGAACCATGGAATACGTTAATTGAAGACTTGCCTTTGCACAACCTTAATCATGCATGACCCCTTAAACCCCGCCCTCTAACGGTGACCAGGATATCATTTCTCCTTGAAATGTACTACATCTTGTATATAAGTTTACCTCTGATAACTTCTCCCTTTCCAATGGTAAATGTAAAAGTCCTGCCTTTGTCCCTTGACGAATCGAACTTTTTTCCGTTTTCGTCATCTAGCCTTCCTGTTAAAATTAGAAGTAAAACTCGGCTTTAAGACCCAACTTTTTTACGCTATACATAAGCGTTACATACGAAGCGTTTTTAAGCTATACATACCAGTGTAGTGAACTTCCACTTTTTGACCTCTCTTCGGTGACACTTAAATAAGCAGAATTGAAAAATTAATCACCTGCAAAACGAGTTTGATTGTACGTAAAAAAAGGGAAAATACCTCCTGTTCCCTCCTGCTGGACAAGACGCTGTAACCCAGACATGATCACTGAAGACTTCGGCGAAGGCGCTAAGGACCAGAAGGACTTATGGGTATGATACCCACGTGATTATCAAGAACCTCTCTAGAGTGGGTAGAGGGAAGGGTTACGGTATTTTTCTGGGGTAATTTCGCTTACAGTAAACTGAATCTAAGAATAAGACGAAAGCATGACTAAAAACTGCTTATTCACTTATTTGTTCTGTATTACCCATGAATGACTTAACATTTTCCCTGGGTAGCCAGGAGAACAGTTTTTGCGCACCCTAGACTAGACGGTACAGTATCTGCCAAGTTTGTTTTGTTTCGGCGCTGCAATGTTCATGTGTTTGTTTGCCGGGGCAAAATTTCATTCTTGCCGCTGGAAAGATATATAAAGGATAGTTTTTAGTTTCACTACTGTGTCCACTTTGAGAAGAAGGTAATATTACCACAGCTCTTCTCGCAGTTAACTGAGAAAACTTCTCTTTTTAGCCTCAAGAATAAGTAGAACATTGCCATTTGGCTTAGTGCCATATTAGTGGACATAGTGGTGTGTTGTTGACGTTTCGTCGACAAAAAGAGATAGCTTCATTTAATTTACGGGATAAAACAGTGAGAATGGTCCTATGATCCAAAGGAGAGCCTCAGTGCTTTAATATAAGGTAGGTAGTTGCTGGTAGATTTAATGGGTCAGTTCTTTAGAGAAATTTTAGACGTCAATAAACAAAATGTTTCGGTTGAAAACTTGAGCTTACACGTAAGAATTTTTCTTGAAGATATAAGCTAAAAAACTGAGGATTAGATGCTCTTTTAGAGAGGAGAATGCAGTTGTGTGCTGTTTTATTTATGTATATGTTACAGGTCAGAATTAAATTCAGGTTAGATTTTTTAACCTAGTTTGATTCTAGATTTCCTTTGTTTCCTAAGGAATTGAGATTCAACCACTAGGTTAAAAAATTTAATCTGAATTTAATTTGACCTAGCTGTAACATATATATAAATAAAACAGCACACAACTACATCCTCCTCTCTAAAAGAACAACTAATCCCCGGTCAAGTCAACAAGGCACAGAGAAAAACAGGACGCATCACCCTGCTCAATGTAAACACTTCTTTATTATGTATTTTTAGTTTATTTATGATATTTTCTGTTTTGGTTTTCCTACAGTCTGACAAGTATTTGGAAAATCAACATTATTTTATTAGAAGAGAAAGAAGGACTTAAACGTCATAAATTTGTAATTCTATTTTCTGATTTTCCTGGCTTTATTAATACTATGGGTGGAGCTGTCAGTGCAGGACAAGACATTGATGAATTAGTTGACAATCTTAAAGAAGCAAGCTATATCAGATCGCCAGAAGTGGAACGTGTTTTCCGTGTCGTGGATAGAGCAGAGTATTTTCCGGAGGGAACAGAGCAGCATGCTTACAAAGACTTAGCTTGGAAACATGGTAATATACACCTCTCAGCTCCTTGTATTTATTCTCAAGTCCTGGAGTCTCTTGAGCTCAAGGAAGGACTCTCATTTTTGAATCTTGGAAGTGGGACGGGCTACTTGTCTACTATGGTTGGCTTGATCATCGGTTCGAATGGCATAAATCATGGAATTGAATTATTTGAAGATGTGGTACAGTTTGCGGAGGAGAAACTTGCCAACTTTTTAAAGACAAACCCTTTTTACCAGGGAACCAACTTTAGCGAACCAGTTTTTGTTGTTGGAAATTGTTTATCTTTGAACACTCATTACAGACAATACGATCGTGTTTACTGTGGTGCAGGTTGTCCTGCTGAATATGAGGATTACATGAAGTCTCTAGTGCGGGTTGGTGGCATTTTGGTCATGCCTTTCCGTGACAAGGTAAGAAATTCTGTTTTGTGAATTATTTTTTGCATTCAACGCCTGGCCCTGGTTGCTCAAATGTTGGATAGCGCTATCCACCGGATAAATCTCTATCCACTGGATAGTGCAATATTATTGGTTTCCCTAATACTTATCCACTGGATAGCGTTATCCAACGTTTGAACAACCGAGGCCAGGTACCGGTAGCTTTTGTTGGCATCCCTGTGCATCACAGCCACAAAAAATTTTTATATTTTAAGACAGTACAGTGGAACATTGCCTTGCGGCCACCTTGGTAATATTTTCACTTGTTATTACAGCCACTTTTTCTGGCCTCGCAAAATGGCCATACATTGAATTGTAAAAAACCCTTGTTTTTTTTCACCCCATTAATACAGCCACTCCTCAGAAATTCGAAACTTAAAATGCCTGTGACCTCCCTGGTGAAAATCTTTCAAGGATCTTTAAAGATCGTCGAAGATTTGCATGAAGATCCTAGTGCAGATCTTTGAGGATCTTTATTAAAAATCCTTGTTTAAAATTAACCTCGTTCATTATGCATGGATGAAATTAAACAAGTGTAAAAAATGAGTAATACATTCTCATTCATTATGCTTTGATGAGATGAAACAAGCCCAATAAAAGTGTAGTAGGGATTTTATTCAACCAATGCATGCGGCAAGACAAAACTGAATTGTACATGTGTAAATAATAATGTTTTTTGTTTGCCCTTGGCAGTATTTATAGCACTAATGTCAGTGCGTGGGGCTAAGCAAATGTCTGAAACAAATAATTCAAATTAAACTTAACAAGGTTAATAAGAATCCCAACTGAGGCAAGCTGGCTAGTTGAAAGCATGATCAAGGATTTGAACTTGGGACTACCAAGAACAAATCTAGCTAGCAGTCAGGGAGGGAACTCAGAGCCTCCGAATTGCAAGTTCAGCGCTCTAACTAACTGCTCAGCGACACTGCATTAAATAGGGAACAAATAAAAACAATATCAGTATTGATACCCGGGGGAGGGGGGGAGGGGGGTACTTCCTTCTAAGAGGCTAATGGGGTGTGCCGCTGGATAAAGTCGCATTTTCATGACGGAATTGACTATAATGGGGTCGCATTTTCAATAGAGTTACTAGAATGGGTTTGCACATTTTTGGATTTTTGGGGTAAGAAAGTTGTTCATATTTACGGTTAGCAAACGTATCAGAATATTTATACTGTAGGTGAAAAGTAAAGTGTTCTTCATTCAATTTATTATGGGTCAATTCATTTTAGGATGACCTATTTAAATGATTGATAAAGTAGATACATAAATAGAAAGTGACTAAGTTGGGATCGCGAAAATTACATATTTGCCCAAAAGTGACTAAGATGGGGTCTACGACTGGCCACAAAATAGACTGTAATGGGGTAGGGGCTCTGAGAGGCCAGTGGCACATACCCAGCAAAAATTAACCCAAATAACTCCCCGGGTATTGATATAGGTAAGAGAAAGTC